AATTCTCTGCTGGTTGACATGAGGAACAAAATAGAAGTATGAGAGTTTTCAAGCAGCTTATAGTCTTAGCCGACTACCAACCCACACAAATGTAAAGAAGTGACAGTGCAAAACAGAAATGACTGTGTAAGCTAAAGGAGAGGGGGACATTTTATATGACAAGGGCACTGTCACTCAGCATTAGCATACTGAGTTTTTAGAGGTTTCATGTGAATTGTTGGTGTAAGGAGCTGAGAACAATCATTAGCCTTGATTATTTTCATAGCAATAAAAGACTTTTATAGTACTTAAGCGTATGCTTAGTGATAAAGTAAGCAACTGTAATAAACTATACACCTATCTGCTCCTACCCTCAGAAATGACCCTTCTAAATGATGGCTTAAATTAAAACATATTGTGACAAATAAGAGAAATGAAATGATGATCTTACTATTTGCATATGAATGTATATGTATTCATGTATGTGTTTTTTTTAACTGTAAACACATTTACATACTGATCCTTAGGAACCATTTTTTCTTCTGTTTATTTTGTGATTTGATAATACAATTCTAAACTATGCCAAGAACCTTCTTAATAGAAATTTTAACTAAACTGCCATTGTTTTTCTGTTTTCACTTTCTCAGCAACATTTATCAATACCTAAAAATTTAGGAGCTTAGCCTTTTGTAAGGGGAAGATTTTTTTTTTTTTTTTTTTTTTTTTACGTCTGAAGAGCTAGTCTCAATTTGGGAGTTACTGCTCTCTATGTGTCTACTTGGTCTGAGAGTAATGTCAGCAAGATGGTGGAATAGGACTTTCCAATACTCATTACCCCACAGAAACATGAGATTGAACAAGCAACTATATAAGAAAACATCTTTGCAATGGCTAAGAAAGTCAGGTGAGAAATTATAGCACATGGGTCTAACCAAGAAATAAGAAAACACATTGAAAAGAGCAGAAAGGAAAATTACCCACATCACTACTCCTCAAACCCCAGGCAGCACCACCTGGTGGGAGACCTACTCGGGGAAGGACAGGGAAGCAAGCCTCAGACTTTGCCTCAAACACAAACAATGGACCTTCCTCAGTAAAATCCAGCACCAGGAGGACCCACAGGGTCTCAGACTCCAGACTGATACCCATGCACTGCCCTAACACCAGTCTGGCTCCAGATTTCAGGGATTCCCTGGGGACTTGGTCTCCTGTCTGCTCCACTGCAAAATCAACTCCACTGGCTTAGGCTCCAGATTGGGTAACTCAGATTGGGTTAGCTCTAGCATCCTTGGGATCCAAACTTCCCCTAGCACCAGATCATTTCCCTCATCATCAGGTCAACATCTGGGCATCCAGTCTCTTAGTAGAGGCTTTAGGCCTGCCTAACAGCAGGCCAGTCCCTATTAGTCCAGGTGTCAGGTCCACTCTATGTTCCAGACCAGCCCAGAAACAGAAAGGCATCCAAATTGCCAACAACAAACTATCCTAAAAGTAAATCAAGGAAACATTCCCAATTATAATAACCTCATAAAAAACAAAATACTCAGGAATAAATTTAATCAGGGTGGTAAATGATCTATATTTTGAAATTTATAAAGAAATGATAAACTAATACAGACACAAATAAATAACTATGTCCCATGTTAATATTGTTAAAATATTTAGAGATTCAATGCATTTCCTATAAAATTTTCAGTGACATTTTTTCACAGAATAGAAAAAAAAATCCTAAAATTTGTATGAAAACACAAAAGACCCCAAATAGCAAAGCGATCTTAAGCAAAAAGAACAATGCTACCTGTTATGGTTTAGATATGAGATGCCCCCCAAAGACCATGTGGGAGACAATGCAAGAAAGTTTAGAGATAAAATGATTATGAGAGCTTTAATCTAATCAGTTCATTAATCCACTGATATGGATTACTGAATGATAACTGCAGGTGGAATGAGTGACTGGAGGTGAGTCACTGGGGGCATGAGTTTGGGGTTTATATTTTGTTCCTGGTAAGCAGAGCTTTTTCTGCTTCCTGCATGCGGTGCTCTGAGCTGGTTCTTCCTCCACACCCTTCTGCCACGATGTTTTGCCACACCTCAGGCCCAGAAAAATGGAGTTGGGCTGTTGGTGAACTGAGACCTCTGAAACCATGATCCCCAAATAAACTTTCCTTCCTCTATATTATTCTTGTCCAGTATTTTGGTCAGAGCAACAAAAACTGCTACCTAAAACACTTCCATTCGGTATAGCAATCCCACAACTCAGTACATATTCATAGGAAATGAAATCAGTTAAAGACTATCCATATTACCATGTTCATTTCAGCATTGTTTACAATAGCCAAGATGTAGAATTAACCTAATTGTTCATCAATGGGTTTATGAAGATAGAATATATGGTGTATATACACAAAGCAATACTATTCTTTAAAAAAAGAAAATGTTGTGATTTGAGATGATGTGGAAGAATCTGGAAGATATTCTGCTAAGTGAAATAAGCCAGGCACAGAAAGACAAACACTACATGATCTTCCTTAGGTACAGAACTTTAAAAAGATGAATTTGTAGATGTAGAAAGTAGAGGGAAGAGTAAGGGATGCTGGTCAAAGGTACAAGTTTTAGTTAGACATGAGGAATACATTTTTGAGATTCATTACACAACATGGTAAGTATAATTAATAATAATGTATTGCATATTTCAAATTTACTAAAAGAGTACATTTTAATTTTATCATCACAAAAATGATAAGTATGTGAGATTATAGGTATGTTAATTAGCTTGGATTAATCATTCCATAATGTATACAAATACCAAAACATCACCTTGTATCCTCTAAATATATGTAATTATTATTTAACAATTGAAAACATAATTGTTCTCCCTTCATCTGAAAGGAGAAAGTTTATTTTGTAAATTATAAAGATTCTAAATTTTCTACTTTTCTACCTACAATGCTTAAATAACACTGGACTTTAACAATGTTTAAAAATGGCACTACAGGGCTGGGGCTGGGGCTCAGTGGCTGAGCTTTTGCCTGGCATGTGTGAAGCACTGGGTTTGATCCTTAGAACCACATAAACAAACAAACAAAAAAAGGCATTCTGTCCATACACAACTACAAATTTTAAAAAAAAATGCAATAAAGCCAAGCATGGTGGAACATATTTGTAATCCCAGTGGCTTGGGAGGCTGAGGCAGGAGGATCAGAAGTTTAAAGCCAGCCTCAGCAATTTAGTGAGACAATGTTTCAAAATAAAAAATAAAGGGCTTAGGGTTAAGCACTCCTAGATTCAATCCCCAGTACCAAAAGAATAAAAAGCAATAAAAATAAACAAGTAAAAACCAAGAATGCCCAATGAACTAATAATTATGAAGGAAAAACCTCAGTAGACAAGCAATTGTCCCCAAAGACCTTTACCAAGGAATCTATTTTATATAAAACTCAGTTGAAAAAAAGATCAAGTAAGCACATTTCTGAACATGTAAGTTAGTACAGTCAGAAACAGGCACCTAGTCTGCCTGTGTGATGCAGGATATCTTTTTATTGTTGTTGTTCTGGTGATTCATCCCAGGGACACTTTATCCAAGGTCTCACTAAATTTCCAAGGCTAGCCTTGAACTCATGATCCTCTGCTTCAGCCTCCCAAGTAGCTGGAATTATGGCATGCACCACCATGTCCAGTATGTAGGGAAGTCTCAGACAACAGAGCATTGTAAAGACAACGACTACCTCAAAGTACAGGTTCTAGTTAAGGCTTCAATTATATATGTGTGTGTTTACACACTGTTGTCTAAACAAAGAATGGCTGTGCGCTTGATTCTGTGTGTAAACCACCAGTTTGTGATGTCCATTACCAAATTAAGTTGAACACTTCTTTTTACATTTTCTTTGGTGGAAGTTTTTCATTCCTTGGGCCATCTAATTCTAGACATTTTATTATCAAACCTTCCCTTTATTTTCAATTTTATAAGAAGAATAAGAGAGTCCAAAATATCTTGGGTGAAAGTGAATATCTTAAGTTTCATTTCCTAGGAATTAGAAAGAAAAAAAAAAAGCCTTTCATTGAGTGCTACTCAACTTCTAAAGTTCTTCTACACAAAAAACAAAGGAAAGATTTCATGAGATGCCAGGTGTATAGAGCAGGTCACTGATAGAAATCAGGTGTAATTCAGATTACCTAAGAAATACTGACATCCTAAATACTAAGAACCAAACTGTAAAGCAAAGCATTATCTTAGATTCATTCTTCAAGTAAACAAAAAAAAATGCTATTATCTAAATGTTGGCCTTATCTTGTAGTCTCAAAGAACCACAGTTTTGACTTCAAGTTCACTCAAGCATATTAATGGGAGACAGGAAGTCTGCACAACCCAGTTCAATTATCAGTACTCTGGCATTAATCACTATGAGAAGGAAAGTTTGGCTCAGCTGACAGTCATATCTTACACCAATACTAGTGTAACAATACCATCTAAGTTTACTCCTACAGCCTATAATTCAAGTATGAAAATATTCACATATACAGCCAATGAACAAGAAATTCCACAACACAGATATTCCTGATTAATATGAAGAGTTTTCCCCTCATATACTTACATATTATACCTTTACAAAGTCTTTCTCTTTACTCAATAATTCTTAGACATATTCTATTTTTCAGTACATTCAAAATTATGACAGATTTTATTATAGAATTATGCTATCCAATCTTTGGAAGGTTTCTCAAAGCTGGGTTTCAATTATGTTAAACACATACCATATGAACTGGAATGTAATTTTTAAAGTGCACAAAATTATATTGACCGAGTGAACTATAGGTCCATTTTCATTTTGTAAAACTGTATTATTATGCAATTTCATTCTTTGGTATCTCCCTTTCCCTAGATTATGTTATGTGCAAGTACAAATATATCATAATGAATCCCAATATTATGTATAATTATAATGCATCAATAAAAACTAAAATTGTATTACTGTTAATGCAGTGCAAATCCAACAAACATTATTTAAATCTCAGATACTTACTGTGGTTGGAAAATAACGACTGGTTTTGAATTTTTTCAGAGCCATAGAAGAGGTGTAGGTGCCCAAGAAGAGGATGAAAGACATAAGTGTGATATCAGGGACAAAATCGCAGTTGTTCCCCACAAGCTTTCCTCCGTATTTCAAACACTCCTTCTTCGACAAAAATTCCCAGTCAAAGGTAGAATTATGGTACTGAAGAAGAAAAAAATAGAGTTTCGTTTTTGTTTTAGTTTTTTGGTTTTAGGGAATACTGATATGTCAAAAGCAGCTTTTGATACTTGATGGACAATATAGGGATTATAGTAAAAGTTTCTGCAAAATTCTGAGACATCCTCTAGAGAATGAAACTTGGTAAGACTTTACTGGAATAACAGGTGAGGTGACACAGACATGAGCAATTACTGAAACTACATGAGAAAGATGCAACTTGTTACCTAGCTTGTGCTGCCACCTTATAATCACCCATTTGTTCAATGGAAACAAACCCCAAAGTCCTTTCCTGTCAATGCTCCGAGAGTAAACTGAGGTACATGAACATCCTAAGTCTCAAATGGGAGTCTCTCAGAAACACCTTTCTTGTTCAAAAAGTACTTTGGCAGTGCACAGCTTTGTATGCATCTGCTTGGTGGCCCTATTAATGCTCTCAACATTCAACAGGCTCACTACTCAGCGAGCACTTTTCAGATAGACTATTTCTTTTCTCATTTTTTCTTGTCAACTCCAGGTCGGCATTACGGACATCCATCATTAGAATGGCTGTGATGCGTGATGCCTTAAAGTCAGTGGCTTCCTGTACAGGACACTATCCTTATATTACATGGCCTCAAATGTATAAGCCACTTTTCATATATTGCTGTCATGTCAGTGCTGCACTCGTCTCTTGCAGATCATTCCTCTATTTTCTGTTTCTAATACGCAGCAGAACCCTTTGGCTATTATCAGTATGGTCAGGCACTCACCCCAAGGTGCTCTATTAATTAGCTGCTATTAGCTAACAACTGGCTCTTTTCCTGGAGAACTGCCTTTAGCCACACAAGAGCTACCTTACCTGGACTGCTAGAGTGTCTCATAGTCCATTACTGACCATCACCAACAGAGAGAAAAAACTAGCCTCTTTGTTTCAAAGTAGAAGCAGCTCTTTGGCACAATTTAGGCCCTGGAACTCCCCATGGAGTTAGGCTAATGCTAAACTCAGCTGAGACCACATCCTTGTTTAACTCCTTCCATTTCCCAAACTGCTTCTCTTTCTTTCACTGTTTTTATTGAGAACAGCACCTGAAATTCCTGTAGTAGATTCTGTTTCCAAAACAGCCAATTTACTTGAATTACTGGCTACTGAAAATTAGTGGCCTCTAAGCCTAAGGAACTTTTTCTAGAATATTACAGTGTGGAGAAAATCTAGAGATAATTTCACATGATTTTTCAAAACCCTTAGTATTCAATTGTCCTGAAAGATGATCATTCATCCTCTGCTTGAACATTTTCTGTGATAAGCAGTTTCCTGGTAGCTCATTCCCTTTCTTACTAAAATTCCTGTGCAGCTATTTCTTATATTTGAGTCTTCTTAAATGCTTATACTTTGAGTGAGTTTCTTTTGATATACAAAAAGTTTTCTTGTATATCTTGACAATTATGGCCATTTCCAGGAGACAGATTTTGAAATCTTACCCGTCTAAATGAATGCCAAAGTGGTTGGGTGTAAAGGATGGGTGTCTCAGCTTAGAAACATTCTAAATACTTTAACTTCTATCCTTATGGGTCCAGGACTAATAAGTGTATCATGTGCTAACAGAAGAGTTATTTAAAAACACCATGCAAATAAATGTGGACAGATAAATGTCTCCTGTCTATTACAGGAAAGAGATCTGCCTCGCACCAAACCCATATCACCAACATTTTTTTTTACCATTTTATAAATTTCTCTTGATCTGAGCAACCTAGTTATAAACGACTCTCTGGACAGAAAGAGTTCATATTTTTATAGGGCTCAAAAGGTAAAGTGCTTACATAAGTCAATAAAAAAATAAACTCTAGATCTTTCCTTGAAATATTTTTCTATGTTAACTTCAACTTGTAAACAGCTGAATTGCAAAACTGCTCTTTTATCAAACCCTGCTCCTGGAAAAGGTGATTAATCATGTCTCATTTTATTTTTTAGATTTCTGCATGTGGATGATTTTAGGAAAATTCATTTAAAGTTTAGAGATACTAATAGTAACAGATTTCTTTGTTTTAAAATCAGCAAAAATGTACCCAAATTTCACTTCTGCATTTTGATAATCAGCAAGAATCCTCTTCATAGAGTTCCCCAAAGAGGTGAGATGCATTGAAACAATCACAATAGGCAGTTTTATCAATTTTCTTACAAAGATTCAGATTGAAGTGAAACTGCACAGGTGTACATGAAATAAATGATGAGCATGTTTTCTTGCTTATATTAACATAAAATACCAGCATCCATATTTTGTAAGCCCCAAACGATTCTCTATATCATTACATCAAATTTGTTTTGCCTCCAAACAGCATCTTTCCCTAAGGACTTCAGTTTAAAACCTTTAGGCAGCTTCCATGATCTCAGCATGTATAATATTTCTGCACACCCAGTTTTCTTCTCCCATAAAACTTAAGCTATATCAAATAAATAATTCTATTTAAATATCACTGAAAAGACATCTGTATTATCCTTATTATTTAAGAGTTGTCATTTTATATGAGCTGATGTCAATGAAGGTTAACTCTGTATATCTTCTGGCAGGATACATTTCATGAAGAAATTAACCCATGCCCATCACTACCATCTTTGTTAAGCCATTACCTCCTACAGGCTTGATGCAGGAAACTGAGCTCACTTCACTACCACTGTCCTTAACCCCTTTAGAGATGATTCTCTGTGGTTTTGACCTTTATTTCCTATGCAAAATTCTTCGTGCAGTGCTTAAATTACAAAATCAGAACTTTTAAGACCAAGACAAATGGGAACAGAATTCCCCTCTGCCTATCAGAATTCTTACAACACATTCTGTCTTTTTCTTGGGATACTTATAACTTTCTATTTTCATTTGTACTGCAGTTTAGTGTTATGACTTTGGAAATGCTTGAAGAGATGTCTAATGAGCCAGGAGAGCTGAATCCAGAAGAGATGTCAAGAGACACTGACTTAAAAGTCATCTGTAAAGATCTGATCCCTGGATCAATCAGATTTACTACAACTACAAAGATGTTGAAAAAAAAGACTGTGAACCATCCTGTGCATCCATGGGAGTGAGAAAAAGTTTGTGGATGTCATCGGAGTGCAAGGTAAGAGGAGAAGTTCAATGGGCTGAGATATGAGTGGGTGTGAAAAAATTCCAACAGCAATTAATTACAGACTATTTTTTCTCCAAGGAATACAGTAATGAAGAATAAGCTAGAACACATGAGCCCTGCAAGGTTAAAACAAATTTCTCAGGGTTAGTGAAGACTTCTGAGGTGTTTCCGTGGTGGATAAGAATGGGGATGAAAGGGGAAAGGGGTAACCAGAATAACAAGAACAGAGAAAAAAAAGACAAAAAAAAAAAAGATCAGAGAGGGACAGACAGATAAAGACTGAGTAACTGTTGGACTGGGATGGCTGAAAGACAAAACTGATAAAAGTATAGAGCTTGAGGGCCAAAGGGACTGTGCATCATTAAAAAAAATAATAATAATAATAGAAAATAAGGAAGGAGGAAAATAGCAGACCAAGACAGAGGAGAGTTCAACTTAGAACACAGTGGGCACCAGAGAAATCTTACTTAACTGAGTGAATAAAATCTTTCATCAGGTCTGGAATATTTGATACAATCAAGGAAGAACTCTATCAATTTATCTACCCTTTCTATCTAGAGGGCAAAATTAAAGTAAAATAACTTTCAATTTAGAATTACCAGGTAAAACACAGGATTCACAGTTACATTTGAATTTCAGCTAAACAATGAATAACATTTTTATTATTAAGCCTGTCCCTATGCACTATTTAGGACATAGTTATATTAACATATTGTTCAATACTTATTTTTATTTGTTTATTAAATATTTATCAATATTTATTTTTATTTGTTAAATTTGGCAATGCTAAATCAATTAGATATAGGAATGACAGAGTAAGGGAGCAATGAACACAGAATTACCAGTGACCAACTCTGGATGTGTATTTCTTCATGTATTCACAAAAAGAAAGGAAAAGAATTAGATGCTATGAACAAAAATGCTGATGTGGGGGGGAACACAGTGCTTCATTTGCCTAACCAATAAGTCCTTATTAAAAATGCATGGGTGGGGGCTGGGGTTGTAGCTCAGTGGTAAAGCGCTTGCCTTGCACATGTGAGGCACTGGGTTCAATCCTCAGCACCACATAAAAATAAATAAATAAACAAAATAAAGTCATTGTGTCCATCTACAACTAAAAAAAAATTTAAAAAAAATGCATGAGTGACCAGCCTAGATGCCCATCAATAGATGAATGGATAAAGAATCTATGGTATATATGCACAGTGGAACATTACTCAGCATTAAAAGAGAATAAAATCATGGCATTTGCAAGTAAATGGATAGAGCTGGAGAATATTAGGCTAAGCGAAGTAAGCCAATCCCAAAAAAACTAAAGGCCAAATGTTTTCTCTGATTAGTGGATGCTGATCGATGATTGTGAGAAGAATGGAAGAACTTTGGATTGGGCAAAGGGGAGGGGAAGAAAGATGGTGAAATGAGATAGACATCATTACCCTAGGTACATGTATGATTGCACAAATGGTGTGTCTCTACACTGTGTACAACCAGAGAATTGAAATGTTGCATTGCATCTGTGTACAATGAATTGAAATGCATTCTGCTGTCATGTACAACTAAATAGAATACATAAATAATAATAAATAATTACAAATAAATAATAACAAATAATAATAATTTTTAAAAGAAAAAAAATTTTAAATGCATGAGTGCTCACCATGGGAAGAAGCTAACAGTACGTGGGCCAGATCGGATGAAGCAGATTGTTTGTGTAAAGGGGTAGTGAGAAAAAAAAAAGATGTAAAGGAAATGGGGCTAAGTTGCTAAGGGTCTTCAACTGATTTCAATCTACTTTTCTGGCTTTCATTTTCAAGAAAATTACCCTCCTTATATTGAGTAGCTGTGCTTCAAATTCTTAACAGTAGGATGTATGCTGACTGATTTATTTCAATATGTAAACACCATAGCATCATCCCCAAATGAAAAAGTGAGAGCGATATGAGGCAGGTTGGGGCAAATGTTGAGAGCCATTAAGGTGAGATGCTGTGTACATAAGAGTCACTTATACTCTTCTATTTTAGTGTGTATTTGGAACTTTCTGTAATAATTTTAAAAATAAGAGCACATGTATCCAAGGAGACTTAAGGACAAAATGATGTTTACACTTGACTTTCTCAATGGGAGAAAAATCACAAGGATGCTATGCACAAGGAGATTAATATGACATTCCGTTTCCCGTGAAAATGAATGTTAACTCCTAGAATCACCCTGAAGGTACATCAAATCAAACCACTTTTGCTTCCATGTCTGACTGTCAAGCATAATTTATGTGACGGTAATAGTTCTTAGTCCTATGATTAACAGCATCTCTGCATGGACATGATATGCTTCACTGGATAATATAATAAGCAAAAAATAAATAAAGGGCCTATACTACTCTCCTTGAGTATTGACTGATAAAAATATGGGCCTTTTACATATAATTGAGGGTGATACTATAAGTAAAAGGTTAAGATCAAGTAGATGAGGATGCAAAGAAATCTAAATAAACAAAATTTCAAAATAGTACCACTCCTTCATAACAGAAGAGACTCAAGGCTGCTTCATCTCAGAGCAGCAGGTAAAAGATACAGCAGGTGAAAGATACATCCAAATGAGGAGAAATAAGTCAAATCTCTAACAAAATTTTAATGACTGCAGATTAGAATTCAAAGGAGTCCTAGGATGTATACTCACTCACCAAATTTTTTCATTGTCTTTGCCAAATGCACCACAAGACATGAAAGATTGGTGGTTGAACTGGAGACCAGAGAGAAATCTCCTTTAGACACATGTAGCTCCCACCAAGGGCAAGAAAGTCACTTTCTTAAGAAGGAACACAGCCACATCAATGTTTATAGCAGCACAATTCACAATAGCTAAACTGTGGAACCAGCCTAGGTGTCCTTCCATAGATGAATGGATAAAAAAAATGTGGCATATATACACAATGAAATATTACTCAGCAATAAAAGAGAATAAAATCATGGCATTTGCAGGTACATAGATGGAGTTAGAGAAGATAATGCTAAGTAAAGTTAGCCAGTCCCAAAATTCCAAATGCCAAATGTTTTCTTTGGTATAAGGAGGCTGATTCATAGTGGGATAGGGAGCGGGAGCATGGGAGGAATAGATGAACTCTAGATAGGGCAGAGGGGTTGGAGGGGAAGGGAGGGGGCATGGGGTTATTAATGATGGTGGAATGTGATGCTCATTATTATCCCGAGTACAGGTATGTAGACACCAGGTATGTATTCACACCACAGTTGGTGTGAATATACTGTGTATACAACCAGAGATATGAAAAACTGTGCTCTATATGTGTAATAAGAATTGTAACGCATTCCACTGTCATATAAATTAAAAAAATTTTTAAAATAATAAATAAATAAAAAGATGGGAGGCAGGGAAGCAGAGCTGAGAAAAACCTCTCTGAGACATTCAATGACTTCTGAAAGGACTAAGGAATCTTCCCTCTGAAGGTTTAGGATAGAGAAATTAGGCAAAGAAAGATCTCCCAAGGCTAATAAAGCTGAGGAACAAAACAAGATACACAGCATTCCATGGGACTTTCAGGATGATGGAAATATTCTTTCTCTTGTTTGGATGGTAGTTGGATCAGGTACACAACTGTTGAAACTCACTTCAATGAATGCTTCAGAACTGTGTACTGTACGGGATGTCACAATTTAATTTAAAAAACAAGAAATTTGATGTTAATACAAATATTAACTAATCCTTTCAAGCACTTGCTCAGAAGAGACTTATATCAGAGTTTGAAACCTGGGCCCTTCCTGAGAGCTAGAAACTGGAAGCCAGCAGATCTTAATGCTCCTCATTTAAATTACACTATCCATCAGCTGTGTGTGGTTTCAATGTTTTTCAGGGACTTTCTTTAAAAAAAAAAAAAATCATTTGCAGGTTAAAGGGAAATGACAAGTGAGAAATCTACAGGAAAACTGGGTAAGGTGAGACAAAATAAAACGCAATGGTTTCAACAATAAATGGAAAAGCTGAAAATCCTGCCTCTTTTTCTAGAGTTCTAGCCTCTGTCTACATGCTCAAATGTCCCCTTTTCCTGCTCTTTCCTGCTCTTTCCCGCTGAAACATACCCCTACCACCAGGAAGAAGAAAACTTGTCTTCATGCTAATGAAGCTGAAGGGAAAAGGCCTTCCTTCCTCTGACAGGATGCTCTCAGGGGGGCCCTGTGAGAGGCAGGCTTGCTGGCCCAGGGGCTGCATGTCACTTCTACTGCACCTTCTCATCATCAATTACGACTAAAATGGAAAGAAAGAAATGAAGTCCTGATGACTGCGTGTCCTAGGAAAGGTTCAGGGTAGCAGAGCTGCCATGGTCAAGCAAACAGAGGACTCAGCAGTCTATCAAAAGCAGTGGCTTCTAACTTCTTCTCCCTACTAACCTTCTGCGTTATGGAGGTAGGATGATTTAGTGGTGTGGTGATAATAAAGAGAATAATAACATACCCAACACCGGAAGAGAGATGACTACATGTCTGCCTGCTAAGCACAGCCTATCTATTAATTTGACCTTTATGCTACCTGTGAACTATTATCATTACCATGCTACAGATAGCCCACTGAGAAGCGTCTACAGCCTGTTAAATTATGGGCCCTGCATTTGAAACCAGGCAGTCTGGCACCAAAATGTCACTCAAAGTCCTTCTACATGAAGCACTATGCAGACCCTGTTTTCTCTGTCTGTTTCTCTCATAAACACACACACACACACACATATACACACAAAATCAAACATGAAAAAATAGAGAGGTAAGGTTTGAAGAAAGTCAGAGAAAACTCTAACAGTGAGGAAAGAAGTCAAGACGAGAGCCACAGAATATGAAAATAAGAGAGAAATGGGGTCATGTAAGAGTTTTCCAGGAAGGATACAAAACATCATCTCTGAAAGGGATGTTGTGGGCACTCACTCCATAATATATGCAGAAGTGTTCTGGTCTCCTGAGAGATGGGCACTCTATCAATACAAGGTATTATTCTTTCTGTCTTTAAAACTGAAAGGCTGATATTCTTTGGTAAGATTCCATATTCAGCATAAAAGGAGCACAATTAGAAGCCTGAAATGGCACTTTCCCCTTTTTCTCCAATATAAAAGTCTCCTTCCAGTGTGTGACCTTCCATGCAAAATAGCTCATTTTTAAAGCTTAGTTCCAGTCCCTCAAAGATCCTTGGTTACAAGCCATGGGAAAGGATACCATGTGATGGAGGCTTTCTAAGTGACAGGGGAAATGTCCTGCTGCAATCTCCCTTAGTGAAGAGAACACAGCATTGGCCAATCAGAATTCTTAACCATGCTACAGAGAGAATACCAGACTCTATTTTCCACAACGCTCATTTTTCCTTGTGAAAATATTTCAAGGTCACAGTTAATGGAATATAGAAGTTAAATTCTTATGAAGATTCGAAAGCATGTTACAAATAAACTGTGGCTTCAATTTCTTTTCAACAGGAGGAAAAAGGTTAACTAGAGCAAATAAAAGTGTTGTTTTTCAGTCTCTCTACTACCGAGGATTATTAAATGTTCATTCATGTTAGGATTGCAGAATGGGAGATGACATTATATTATGAATATTATTATTACAAAAAGTACACAGTATACGGTCAGCAGATAGGTGGTTTGAAATTTAAGTCACTTACCATGTCAGTAGAAGAAACAGTTGGAAAATCCTCTGGGGCCAGTATGGTATCATTAGATATTGAGATATTAACTGTAAGAAAAGGACAATTGGACAATTTTTTTACCATAAAAATAAAACAGAAACAATCTTAAAGCATAATTCATGTCTCTTTTTCAATAAAGTCAGTTATTAAAAATTCTTTAATAGCAACAAAAGGGCACAATAAATTTTTATTATAATGATTCACTTTTTATCTAGATAAAATAATCAAAGATTTAAACATCTGTTGTGTTCTAATCTGATAAGAAACAACATTTAAGAAAATGGAATAAAATTTGTTTCAGTTCAAAAAAATACATATTACTAAAATACATTCAATATATTTTGACTAATGAAAGAAATGATTACTAATGATTAAGTTGATCACTGGCTTCATGTACAGTAAAATCTCAAATAAATTGGGTCTTAACTAAATAAGAATAAGTAACTTTTAGAAATTTGGACCACATGTGAGAAAGTATATCATGGCAAATGATGAAAATAAGCACTAACTAAATAATGTAAATTTAAAGGAAAACAATATTTAATCTAATTTAAAAATTACTATTATAAAATGTGGCATCATTTCTTTATTTAAGATATCACTGAAGAACTTAATTCATTTCTTAAACCAATCCCTTTAGAAATATTTATTCATTTTTCAAAATTTTATGGGTGTGAAAATTAAAACATAATATTTTTATTAAAATGCTTATCAGATAAATCTTTCTCTCTCTCTTTTTAATACCTTTATTTTATTTATTTTTATGTGGTACTGAGGATCGAACCCAGGGCCTCGCACATGCTAAGCGAGTGCTCTACCACTGAGCCACAACCCCAGTCCCATAAATCTCTCTTCTTGTGAGAAGACATATACTATAAAATAAATTGTAACACAGACTATTCTCTATTTACAACTATCATTTTTTTTGTCTTTGAGGACCTCATAGTTGATTTAACATTTGAAATGCAAATTAGCATGGTCCTCACCCCGTCCATTCAAAGCCCTTAACCGACTTTTAGTTTGCCATGTTTCAGATCCTCCTGATGCCAACCTTAAAAGAGAAACACATCACTGTTTATTTGATGGATGACATTTTAAATATGAGATGGAGGATGGAGGAAAAGAAGAGAATACCTTGTTTACTACTTTTTCCTAGAATCTAACCAGTCTGGTTCTTAACTAAGAAAAAAGTCAAAAATATTTGTTTACTGTTAATAAAGGAAACTAGAAAGATGAGTCTTTCATGACAATAAATAAATAAATAAATAAATGAGAGCAGATAAAGGCAGAAGAAAAAAAGTAAGGAAAACAAACTAAAGGAGAGAAAAGATTTAATCTAAGTCCAAGTTTTGCTCAATTTTGGAATCCACTCTGATCTTTGAAGGTTCTGCACTGTGAAACTATTAGCCTAAAGGTAGGGATTGTCAGGGTGTTTCCTGTCATAGGCACACTAGATATTTTCTTACTCTGTTTCTTTATAAATGAGAGAGAATAAAATGGACTAAAGGACATCTGGCCTAAACAATAAAATGAAACAAGAATCTATTCCCAAAAAGGAAAATGTTAGTAAATTATTAGTACTAATAATTTTTGTAGGTTTTGTTTTACTATTTTGTTCTAAAAAGCTTAATGTTTTATTAAATTACTCCATTTGTTCATTTAGCCTAACAGAAGAAAAAATAGACCCAAATCTGACCACACTGGCCTAGGATCTGACTTCCTTAACAAGACTCCTAAAGCACAAGAAGTAAAATCAAGAATCCATAAATTGTAGATGGTATGAATTCAAATTAGAAAGCTTCTTCTCAGCAAAGGAAACAATTAATAACCTGAGAAGAGAGTCTACAGACTGAGAGAAAATCTTTACCACATGAACCTCTGATAAAGCATTAATCTCTGGAATATATAAAGAACTCAAAAAACTTAACACCCAAAACAACAACAACAACAACAAATAGCCCAATCAGTAAATGGGGAAAGGAACTGAACAAGACACTTCTCAGAAGAAGAAATACAATTCATCAACAAATATATGAAAAAGTGTCCAACATCTCTAGCAATTAGAGAAATGCAAATCAAAACTACTCTAAGATTTCATCTCACTTCTATCAGAATGGCAATCATCAAGAACACAGGCAACAATAAATGTTGGCTAGGATGTGGTAAAAAAGGCACATTCATACTTTGCTGGTGGGACTGCAAATTGGTGCAACCTCTATGGAAAGCAGTATGGAGATTCCTCAGAAAATTGGGAATGGAACCACCATTTGACCCAACTATCCCACTCCTTGGTTTATACCCCAAAGACTTAAAATCAGCATACTATAGTGATGCAGCCACATCAATGTTTATAGCAGCTCAATTCACAATAGCTAGACTATGGAACCAACCTAGCTGTCCCTCAATAGATGAATGCATAAAGAAAATGTGATATATATATATATATATATATATATATATATATATATACACACACACACACAATGGAATATTACTCAGCTTTAAAGAAGAGTGAAATTATGACATTTGTCAGTAAATGGTTGGAGCTGGAGAATATCATGCTAAGGGAAATAAACCAGTCCCACAAAACCAAAGGCCAAATGTTTTCTCTAGTATGTGGATGCCAATTCACAATAAGGCAGAGGGCACTAGGGAAGAATAGCATTACCTTAGATTAGGTAGAAGGAAGTGATGGGAGGTGAGGGGAGGGGATGTGGGGATAGGAAAGATAGTAGAATAAAACAGACATTATTACTTTATGTATATATGTGACTTCAAGACCAATATGATTCTGCAACATGTACACTCAGAAAAATGAGAAATTATATCCCATTTATGTATATCAAAGTGCATAAATGCATTCTACTGTCATGTATAACTAATTAAAACAAATAAAAAATTTAAAACAAAAATAAAAACACCCTAGAACAAATCATAGGCATAATTTTATACCTGATTTGTATAATAGATGGACTCTGAAGCAAGATTACTTTCCTAGTATTACAGAGTCAATCAGAAGCAAAACTGGTCCAAGACTTCATTCAACATTCATTCTCCTCCTATCCAGTTTCTAATCACAAAAATCAAGATGATTTATGTTGCCAGAGAACTCAAGGAAGGTAGGATAGTACTCGCCTATGTTAGATGATGAGACATCTCAGTTATGAGCTGAGATGTCTGATCCTCTGAGCTTTTGAAGAAACAGCATATGTTAAGTCACAGGCACTACTTAGATGGCATTTGAGAAGTTGTTCTTCCTGAGCTAGATTACTTAATGCAATTTAATCAGCTTCCTGTCATAAGACAGACACTTTTCTACGTTAAAAAAGGGTTAAGAAAATGAATAATGGATAATAAAGGCCAGCAGTGTACTAAAATAAGATTCCAATCTGGACTTTCAGTAATTGCTCTCAAGTTTTGGATGCACATCAATTCTGCTCATTTAGATTCCTTTATATTTTCATTTTCCTCTAAGACAAACTATTAAAGTACACTGGCTATCAAAATCCCAGAAGACCTGCATCTAAAGGACAAGAAAAAGTATACAATACTTTGCTTATTTAATAAGCAACTGTTTCAAAAGAAACACTTCAAAATATATATATATATATATATATAAAAGCACTTCTGTAAATAAATATTGGCAGGGTGTGGTAGAGTCCATAAATAAGATTAAAAGTAAATTTCTTTAGGCTCACAGATGAGAAAACGATTAATTACAGTTGGGAGCTTGGTCTATAAGAGCCGTTGGTCACCACTTGGATCCAGACTCACGCAGTGTAAATGATTTGGCAACCAACTGTAAAATGATCTATTTATATGGAATCTGTGATATCCTTGATTAAAATTATGGAAAGGTCAAATGGAAAAGCCAAAATATACTCTGTCTCTATTTGTTCAGTAACATGGCTTATGAAGTAAAGAATCTCTTTGTTCTAAGAATTTGGCTAATTTACACTGAACCACATACTTCTATGATGGTCTCATCCCACTTGGTTTCAGGGAGTTTCCACAGGTGCATGGTTTTCTGTTACTTGAATTTTTACTTCCCGTTCTTTCTTCCCACATATCAAATGCCCATGATCCTCAAGAAGGGGGGAATGAATACTGTCAGTACTAAACATTTTAAAGTGTGTCTGTGACTTTCCAACAAAGAGATCAAGCCTGGCTTTAGCTGTGGGACCTCAAAGAGGAAAAAGGAGGTGACATCTACGTGTCAGTGTTGGCACATCTCCCACATAGGGAATATCAGTTGCACTGCTAAAGGTTGACCCTCTTTATCCTTTTTCAGGAACTACCCATAGCTCTTCTGATGTACACATTAGCAGTTATGTTGTCAGGAATATGTACAATCTCACTCAAGCCCATGCGGTCCAGTATGAACAACTAGCACAAAGAACAGAACAGTCTCCTTCAGTGGACCAAACATCACAATGTAGAGAAGGGAGTATCAGGCAAACTGGGCTTGGATTTTGGCTTGCCACTTTCTGAAAACAGCACCCCTCAAACTCCCTCACCAAGTCTTGAGGAAGTTACTTCACTCCTCTCATTTGTGAAACTAGATTCGAAAACACCTACCCCATGAGGTTACTGCGCAAATTAAATACAAAAATATAGGCAAAATTGTTAGCACAGTGTCCAGTATCAGGTAAGATCTAAATATGAGGTGCTAAGATTACTTCTAGCTCTATGACCCAGAGAAAGAATTTGCTGATGGAAAAAAGTCAGCTACCTCTCAAGGTTTTTGTGATGATTAATATACACACATAGTCTTATTAAAACACAGTTTACGGGCTGGGGTTGTGGCTCAGAGGTAGAGTGCTCGCCTAGCATGCGTGAGGTACTGGGTTCAATCCTCAGCACCATATAAAATAAAATAAAGATATTGTGTCCACCAATAACTAAAAAATAAATATTTTTCTAAAGAACAGTTTACTAAAATCCCCTAGTGAAATGCCTAGTATCTGAAGGATATTTATTAAATATTAGCCCAATTTGAATATGTACCCTCAACTTAGTTTCTTGGGATTATAATAATGTAGAACTG